GAAAGAGTGGGTATACTGAAATTTATGAAGTTTAAGATCAGGGCATGAGTCTAAAGGAGGTGCAATTAGCTCTAGCCTTCATACCTACTATAGGTAGGTTGGCATAACTGGAGACTACCACCTAATTATGAAATTACATCAGCAGCAATTTAATACCCTATGAATCTTGCTTGGCTGAGTCAAGGCCAACTAGATCATCGAGTTGTAACTAAATATTTGAAGTTTCTAGGCCAAACTCAGCCATCAGATTCACCCACATAAACTCATTGACTGAAGCCCATGGAGTTGATGGGGGTTTAATTTGCAGTAGAATATAGCCAGATCTCTTCATCTTGTCTTGCCTTATGGTTTCCAGGTTTTCATCTTAGCAGGTATCTATAGCCTGATCTGCTGAAATTTACTGGAGTATCTTCAGTACCTTTGGCTCACAAAGTAATTAGATTACTGTCATAAATAACATGTTTGGGTGTGAAACTCTGTCTGCACATACTCTGTCAAAATACTTGCTTCATAGATATTAGATCCTTCTCTTTGTCTTGTGTAACAGAGGAAAGGAAAACAACTGGCTTCTAGTGATCATCATGTTCTGTTACTCTCTGGAAACCTGCAGAACTTTATCCCCCTCATCAGAGAGACTAAAGATGATTTTGTCTCCATCTGTGCTATCTTCAGGATTTTTGTAAATGCTTGTACTAGCACTTTTCAGTGTAAACAGGATTTCCTGGAAGATCTAAATCCAGAATTTTATGATACCTCTTTTTTTTAAAAGCCTGTAAAGCTTTGGACATCTTAAAGCACAGTGCTTACACAAAAAGGCTCCTTATTATTGAACCAAGTTTCCTGCTTTCAAGAGGTGTGGAGACAATGATGTACGTCTTGTACTTCACCAGGTGTTAGGCTGTGGGGAGTTAACATACCTACAGTGGGTACCATTGATGTCCCTGCAAGCAGAGTGTGGCCTCAGTGAGCACACAATTGATGAAGCTCTACACAAATACAAGAATTCAGCATGCTACAAGGAATGCAGAGTCAGTAGTTACCAAAAATTATGTATTAATTATAAGCTGTACACTTTTAATAAGGAAACACTAGAAAAATAGTTCAGAATTTCTATTGTAGTTTTTGGGACAGAACTGTACTTAAGCACAGCTAATTATGAAGAAGCTCCAAGGATCCCTCCACCAAATCACAATTTTCTGTAAGGATGTCTTTGTTCAGGGAAGGCAGCACCCCTGCCCCTTTCCCACGCCACACTCCCACCTGTGTTCTCCTACTGTTCCCCAGACAGGCATTTCCTGCCAGCCCATGACTTGTCTGTTCCCCATGTTCAGCCTGGCTGGCCCTGCAGCACTGCTCTGGACTCTGCTGCCAGAGTGTGTTCCCGTGCAGTGCTGTGAAGGGGACAGGCTCCCAGGGGCAGGGCAGTGCCTTGGGCTCCCATCTGTGCTTGCCCTCAGTGTCCTTCTGCTATGCTCAAGTCGCCCTTTCCAAGTCTGCAGAAGCAGAGCTGTATTTCTGGGACACTCAAGAACATGAGAGCGAGCTCTGCTATTTCATTTCTCAGGGAGACCTCCATGACTTATCTGAGCAGCCAGACTTTGCACTGCATATTTAGGCCCTGAACGTCAGGGATACAAGCTGGAAGAGTTAGAGAGTCCCGTGGGGGTAGGGATAAGTGTTTGCATTTGCCCTTTGCTACATGTAGGGATCTCATTGGCTAAAACTGCCATGAGACCATTAGAAGGTTGGTTGTGTTTTTCTGTAGTCTTGTACAGTCCCTCCAGACCCCCATTAATATTTCATGTACAGATAGTTTGGGTGTTGCTTATCATACTATTAATAAACTTTTCAGATAAGAGGCTGATTACTAAACTGATGGTGTCCTAAAAGTCTTTCATTTGGAGTGCATTTAAGAACTTGCTTTTATTTCCAATCTCTGAAATTCTTAAGCAGATTTGCTACAAAGCAAATATTTTACAAAAAAAATGTAAATGATCTGTTGCATTTTTTAACAAGGTGTTTTATAATGGATTAGAAGCTCTTTTCATACAGAGTCATGTTTTTGCTATGGTTATCTGATGTGTAGGGCTACAATTCAGACTGGGCTGTTAAGCATTCTTTCAATAGGGACAGTAATGCTAGCAGCAACAAAAATAGAGACACAGTAGAATTCATGGCATTAGCTCTGCCAGAATTCAAGTTGCAGGAAACTCGTGTTCTTCCAGGAAAGAGCAACCTTCATCTAATTTCATGTTTAATATTTGCTACCTTTTGTTAACTCAGTACTTAAAATTTTTCAAGTGAGATAGATACAGCTTATCAATCAAGTAATTTAAAAATACTTTTAAAAACACATGGCTCTTGTTTTATCAGTAATTAAATATTTTATTGGGGGTGGGGGAGATTTCTGTACGTTACAATTTAATCAAACTTGGAGTAATAAAAAAATTGCTGTATCCGTTCTCCTGATGATCTCCTGGGACTGAACCAATATCCTCTTGGGTTCAAATGGATTTCCCTTTATTTTGTTCAAACTTGCTGTCTAATAAAATAAGGGTTTTAAAAAAAACACCTTTATAATTTAGTTAATGAAATAGTATA